TTTTTTTTGGTTTTTTTTTTTTTAAATGTAACCATGGCAACATGTGGTGGATTTGGGGGCGTGGCAGGAATCACAGCAACAAGCCATGTGACATCGTCATGAAGGACACATCGGGGCGCAGCATGCAATCACAGTGCAAAGCAAGACAGCGTTGGGAAAAAAAATAAACAAGAGAGAAGGGGAAAAGCCAATTACAATTATAATTAAGGAAAAAACCAAAACATTCTCAACACTTAGTACATTTATAAGCAGAACAATGATGTATTAGACTCTGAGGGCCAGATTTCCAAAGGGGGGAAAGGGTGGGTGTGCTAGCAAAAGCCCACGTCAGCTCGCACCCGTGGGGAGTTAGACACAGCCAGTGCACGTTCCTTTGGGTGGGGACCAGGCGCACCCCCCCACCCGCCTGGGAAAGCTTGTCCCCTTCCCTCCCCACCCCGTCCCCGCCAGCAACCAGAGGTACATGATGCACTTTGCAGTGGCCGCCGCGGACCTTTCACCAGGTTTTCTTGCCTCTATCTAGCGGGGACAATGTTTCGGCACAGGACAGAGCTGGAGGCACTGCAAACGAGCGGCTGGCAGCCCAAGCTCTCTCCATACAAATTCAGCGTGCTTCCTTTCCTCCCTAGTTCTAAAAGATTTGGCAAAACTCCCCTCTTGCAAGGTGGTGGGGGATGGAGAGGGGAAGGGGCCAAGAGGAAAAAATACACGAATGCATCTGAACAGCTACAATTTGCAGAAAGAGCATCTGAAAGGACAACATGGCAGCAGGGAGCTTGGCAGCCTCCTGAAGCTGCGCGTCCTACAGAGCACGGTGCTGGAGGGAATGCTCCAGGGTGCACGTGGCCATCCCCCAAACCCAGGGTGGGTTTGCGGGACCAGGGAGCCTGCAGGAAGGCCCGACTGTCCCCACAAACATGCAGCGGGGAAGCAGACTTGCCTTCCCCTCCAGCCCAGCAGACATGGCCGGCCCCAGTGGTGAGCATGCGTGCTGGGCACGCTCCAGCCACGGGATGTTGGAGCATGTGGGTTGGGGTTTCCTACAGGCAGAGGTGTGTTTGAAGGGCTCAGCTCCCCGTCATGCAAGCAGTGTGTCCTCCCTGCACTATAAGGATGGGGAGGTTCGAGAGCAGAGTGCTTAGCCATTCCTGCCAAACCTTTCAGACCTGCTCCCGGAAAGCCTCGCACCCTTCTCCAGGGCTCCTGCCTCTCTCCCTCTGGCTGAAGCAGGCACATGCCTGGATGCTGGTAGTCTTGTATAACATTGGCTGAAGGATGAAAGCTCAGCTTTCACCCGCCCTGCTGTGCCCAAAGACCTGCAGTGGTTCCCAGTAAGACCCAGACTCTGAGCCTGAACACAGTGGATCCCTGCAGCAGCAGCGAGCATGTACTCAGCCCTGCCGCCTCACTGTATCCCAGGTACAACAGCAGCGGTATCTCCCTACACTTCCTTGTACCTGCACGGCTGACACTTCACTAAAGCGATGCATCTTCGGCCAGTCCACAGCTTAAGCCCTGCTTCTCTCGCTGTACAAGCAGCGCCCTGCTCTGGCAGAAGGGCTGACCCCAGATGTGTCCCTCCTTAGTGCCTTTATTAAACCAGTCTCCTAAAATGTCCTCAGAAGGAAAAGCAAAAATCCAAACTCTAATCCACCTGGCTGCCTGATATGAAAAAACAAACCAACAGGTTCCTCCCATTGCTATTTCCTTTTGTTGGATGACTTAAATGGGTTGTAAAGACATTTAAATGACAAATTTTTGTCTCTGCAGCGGAACTAAATAGGGGTGGGAACACATCACCTTGAATTCTCTTATTAGTCACATGAAACACTGCACTGCACAGAAATTAAAAGGGATACAACCATTTAAGCCTCAAAGAAGACAGCAGATAGACAGTCACACCACTCAGCCACTCAGGTTCTCACTGATGCATACTAAGTTGCTGTCTCTTTCAGATTAAGAAAAGTTGAGAAGTTTGTGTAGAAAAACCTACCAACGCTTGCAGTGGGTGTCATGCACAGAACTGACCCTGCACACCATGCATTGAAGCGTGGAAAGATGAACAAAAGGGATATTTCATTAGTGAAGCTTCAGTGTTAGAAATCACTTTAACTAAAAAGCAGGTATTTTCTTTGCAGCATTCAGTATTTAAGCACATGCAAACAGATTCTGCATATAGGTACGTAAATAGTTTAGACTCAGTTTTAAGAGATCATAGCAAAACAAATTAATTCTTGAATTCTTGGGTAGTAGAGAATATGTTTCTTCTCCCACCCTGGTACTAAATTATATGATCTATCCTAGAAATCAGGGTTGTTTCGGTTTGGTTTTTTGTTGGTTTTTTTTTTT